GAACAGAATATATTCTATTATCTTGTATTTTTCATAAGAAATCATAAATTGAGAAACATGACAATATTAAGATTTTCCATATTAGATAATTAGAAAAACAAAATGAAATCAAGATATGAAACAATGTTCCAATATAAATACATCACAATAATATTGAACAAATAAATATTAGTAAAATATTAACAATAACATAAAAGAATAAACACATATATAATAGATGAAAGAATAAAATTGAACTATTAAATGATGTAACTATTATTATATATCATAATAACAATGAAACATATTTGAAGAAAAGAAAAAAGAATAAAGAAAATAAGAAATGATATAATAAAACGAGAAATAATTTGAATAAAATAATATAAATACAAAAAGAAAGAGAAAAAAAAAGAAAAAAATTAAAAAATAAAATAAAAAGATTATGAAAAAAAAAAAAGAAGGATTTCATAGAACATTGTATTTATACAATAGAACACATATAATAGAACTAATAGAGAAAGAAACAATGACATGAATAATATAGAATAAAATATGAAAGAAAAAGAAGTATATTAACACATAAAATAATTTTTATTAAATTATATAAAAATAATAAAATATAATAACAAGAAAAGTCAAAAAAACAAAATGATTAAAAGAAAAGAAGAGACAATAACATAAAAGAAAGAAGAAAGAAAGATAAAACAGGAAATGAATAATACAGGAGAAGGATGGGAAGATCAACTCTTTGAAGAGTATTTTGAAAATGAACTTAAAATGATGGAAAATATGAAAAATACTAATCCAGAAATAAAAGAAGATATTGATAGGTATCTTGAAATAGGATATATTACTAGAGATGATAATTGGATAGGAAGTGGAAGAAATGATGATATTGAAATTAAAGCAAGAATAGCAGCAATGGAACTTATCAGGTCTACTCTTATTTAATTCTTTTCTTTTTATTATTTTATTCTATTGATTTTATTTGTTTATTCTAAATTAAATATTATCTAATTTAAACATATTAATATTATAAATAAAATTACATAAAATAATCATTAATTAATAACTTCATTTAATCATTTATAATTATTTGTTTTTATTATTTATATATTATCTTTTCTTTCTTATTTTTATATTTCTTTTCATTTGAACTTTACTCATTCAATTTGATATTTAAATAAATTAATAATATAAATGAACATCATTATGATAATATTCAAATATATTTAATAATGAATATTAATATAAAAATATCTATTAATTTAATTATTTATTCATTATTTATTCTATTAAAATTATCAAGAATGAATTAATTAAAACATGATATATACATAAATCAAAGAAATAATAATATTTGTTATTATACAATAATAAATATTAAAAGTAAACATAAAATAATTATGAATGAAATATAAAATAATCAAATTAATCTTTGAATAATATTTCAATAATATTTCAATAATATTTCAATAATAAAATTATTTAATCTAAATCAATATTCAATAAATAAAATAATAATAATAATAATAATAATAATAATAATAATAATAATAATAATAATAATAATAATAATAATAATAATAATAATAATAATAATAAATGATAATTATAATAATAATAATTAATAATATTGAATAATTCTATTATTTTATAAAATTTGATTTTAAAATATAAAAATAAAAATAATAAAATTGTTAAAATTAAATAAAAAATATTATTATTGTTAATTAAATAATAAATAATTTGATTAAATTTAAATATAATTAATAGAATAAATTAAAATAGATATTAATTTAATATCTTTTGTTTCATTTATATTTCTTAACAATTATTACAATTAATTATTTATCAAATCAAACAACTTAAATAATCTCATCAAAATGGTTAGATTTATTATTCTATTTAATAAAAATGTTATGTTTAAATAATAATACCATTTTATAAATCAATGAAAACACTCCAAAAATGAAACTTACTCAATTTCTTATTATTTCTTTATTATTATTTTTCTAAATGTTCTTTTTCTCTTTTTATTTTCCTTTTTTCATATCTCTTTTTATTACTTCATAAATATTATGTTACTATTTAATGTTTTATCATTTTTAATCATTTACAAATACTTTTATTATCTGAACATTAACTGTTTTGTTTATTTTTCTTCATTTCAATGTATCATCAAAACATACATCATAATAAACCCTGAAATAACTTTATTGTCATTTGAAATATAAATAATAAACTAATTTACTTTTAACAAATACAATTAAATACTTTTTAACTCAATCACACATTTATCAACTCTACAAATAAATACTATTGTCAATAAATTAATACTACTATACCTTCTAATAATTTAATCATAATTAACTGAATTTGATACTAAAACCCATTCCATCATTCCATCATTATTCATATCAATCAACCTATCAATATCTCTTTCATTAAAATCAATACCAAATTACTTTCATCCTTTAATACTCTCACTTTTTTTTTTGAAACACCATCATATATATCAATATATTGTTATTCCTTTAATATTCATTTCGTAGTGTTTAGCATGTGATATGTTTATTAGATAATATAATTCTGGTAACTTTTTTGATACTGGTAATGTTGTGATCTCATCAAAAACTGTTTTTTTGTTCAAGTACTTTTTGTTGGTTTGGTGTTATAAATAAGCTGTGGTAACTCTTCAATTGGGCTCATTGTCAATGAATTTTGTTTAAGCAAGTTTTCTTTCTGGTTATTCTAATTTCTCAACATTTACTCTCTCAAACATTTTTTTTCCTTTGGTCCTTACATTTTTTGTGTTTAGTAGAACTTTTATTGCATAGAGTGAATACTAACTCCACTGTTACTAGAATGATGTTTATTTACACAACATTCTAGGGTCATATCATTTTAAAGTTTAGAAAATAAGATAAAATAAATAAACATCACTGAGGATTTTGAATCTTAAAGAGTGGCAAAAATAAGAGATGTAAAAAATAACAATAATTTGTATTATTTAAATAATCTTTTTTTATAAATCAAAAAACCCAAAATTTTCTATTCTGGATATCTATTTTTACCTATATAAAATAAAAATTAAAATCTAATAAGTTATTCCATTTTTCTCTTCCTTCCTTTATTTTTAGTTAAATTTCTTTTAAGAAAATTCTTGGAAAAAAGATTTTTATTTAATCCCAAATTTTTTTTAGATTAATGTTTAGATATTGAGATTTTTGTAATTTAAATCTTTTCGTTCTCAAAATCATTTCAATTTATACTTTCTTTGAATAAGTATTTTTTATTCTCTAAATTAACACCTTTTTATGTCAACATAAACCAACCACAAACAAATTAAAATAGTTTGCCAGTCATTCTATGTAATCTTTTTTGCGATAAGAAACTAGAAACATTAATAAATTTTAAAAGAATCTTCTATTGGAAGTTTTCTTTTGATTTAAAAACCTAAAGATATCTTCATTATTTAATTCCTTGTACCAACACAATGAATCAATTGTCTGTATTATTTTTTTTGTTGGTAACCTTAAATGCAGAAACATGCCCTGAAAACTTTTCAACTTGTTCTTCTTGTTCAAAAGACTCCAATGGGAACTATATCTGTGATAACTGTAATAATTACTGTATTCTTAGTAACGGCTCTTGCATAATCCCTGAACGAGGAGATGAGCTATGTAACTGCCCTCATAATTCTAAAGTTGTTGATGGTGTATGTGTTTGCGATGACAACAGATATTATGATCCTATAAATAAGGTTTGTCAAAGGTGTTCTAAATCTGATAGTCAATGTAAGTCTTGTAAAGAGAGTAATGGTGAATGTACTTCGTGTAATTCTCCGTATGTATTAGATGAAAAAACAAAAAAATGTGTGAGTGGTTTGTTTCTTATCTAACAATTAATGAAATCAGTTTCTACTAATTATTTAGCATGTCCTGATATTCCACATTGTTTAGAATGTCCATCAAATAATTGTACTATATGTGAAAGCAAATATGAACCAAAGGACAATGGTAGTTCATGTGGATGTGCTTTTCCTTACACTGAAATATCAGGAAAGTGTTCAAAATGCTCTTTAATTTATAATAATTGTTTAGATGGAAATTGTGATGATAAAAAGTGTTTAAAATGTAATGAAG